CAAAGCGCATGACGTCACCCAGATGTATAAGGGGCGCGAGAAGTCGCCGGCCCGCCCGCCGCCCGCCGCCCGCCGCCCGTTCCCACCAACAATACCCAACAATACTGAGCCACGGATGCCGGCCGGCCTGCCTGCTGCCCCCTATCTCTTCCTCTATGCCATGCGGCTAGTCCGTTGAATTGCAAGAAAGGAATTGCTAAAAGTAACAAACAGCCATAAACAATTAACAGCAAAATATGAGAGAAAATTAGTGCAAAGACATATCCTTAAATTTGTATCATCTGCTTTCACGATACGTCCCTCGACGTAGCTTTTTTATCCATAAAGGTGCAATAGATGCCACGAACACCCAAGCGCCCTGGCCTTTCGCTTTATAGTGAAGAGATCAAGGAGGGCAGGAGGACATTTTGCGCCTTCCGGTAGAGACAGACTTGCAGACCTTCTACAAAGAAAACAAGTCCAGGAGGTTGGAGAAGGTTCCCGTTTGGCGCCGGCCTCTAGTCTTACCCCGCCGCGGCGCACAACAGCCACCCCTTGTGTGGTCCTGCCCCCCAGTCTAGTTGGATCGTGCCCCCAGGACGCTTGCTTGCACCTCAGGCTCGCAGCCCCACGCCGCGCTGCCGCGCTCTACTCACACAGCCGTCGCGGTACGCTGAGGTGCTTGGCAGGACCTGCGGCGTCGCTCCTGCTCTCTCCCTCCCGTCACTTCTCTCTCCGTCCCGCTCAGGCCGCGCGATCAATGAGAGGGACAAAGAAAGACAAGACGCAGCCGGGGGCGGCGCGGCGGTAGAGAGAGGCAGCTGGCCGGATGTTCACGTACCGACCGCCTGCCGCCGCCGCGGGGGGCAAGATCGTCATCATAGAATGTCGGTCACGACTTTGCGGGGACGTTTTGCAACATTTCGCCCCCCAGTTTCCTCAATTAGAGAAGAGGTCCCTCGCTGAAAAATAACATTCCACATGACATAACGACGAATACAAAAGCACGAATGATTGTTGAAATTCCCGTCGGAATGCTGTCTCTCGTTGTCGGCCTACTTGAGCAGAGGTGCATGGAGCATTAACTAGCTGTAGTTTGCTTGTGGTTCCTTGCCTGCCAGTAGTGCTCTCGCGCCGCCCTCGACCCGTGGCACCCCCACCGCCGCACCCCGCGTGACCAGCCCGCAGCCCCGCATTCCAAGGAGTCGAGCCAAAACTGGGCTAGAGAGAGAGTGGTCCGTTATTTTATTGTATTCGCCATGGCCTGGCAGGGGAGCAGGCGGCGCCTGTGGCGTACCTGTGGCGGTAAACAGCCCCGCCTCACCTCACCCCATCGCGATCCACCCCCACCCCGCCCCGCCCCGCCCCGCCACAGCTCCTACCGTCCGAAATAACCAGGTAGCGCGCGGAGGTGTAATTTCCGCGTATGATTCGCACGGCATCCCCCGCGGCACGCTCGGCCCTGCCGCCGCTCAGTGCACCACCCCCTCTCCCGCGACAGACCACACAGGTGCTTGTGCAGGGGAGGGAGGAAAGGGGTGGTGGTGGTGGTGGTGGTGGTAGTGGCGGCGGTGCTCGTGCTTTTCATGCACCATTTGCCAGCAATTCGTTCATCTGCAAGTAGCATCTGCCCAAGAGATCTGCCGGTATGTGGCTGCTGCTCTGCTCTCGCGATAACGCTGGCGGACGGACGTCAGTCGTCGCCGCACGTCGTCGGCCCCCCGGGGCGCGCGCGGGGATCATACAGACAGACAGGTAAGTATTCCACATTTATGCCAAGCCGCGCGGCAGCCAGGCGGAAAGGAATAAAAATATGCTCGAGAAAATCCGCTCAGTCAGCACCGCGTCTTTTATACACCTCACCTGCGCACGCTGAGTGAGGCGGGCGACAGTGATGCAACAAGTCCACCTCGAAATACGGCGGACTTGCACAGCACACCCCCCTCCGCCAGCACACCACGTGAGTGCGGCGCGGGGGAAGCGTTGGGAAATATAGAGAGAACAACGCGACAGTAAGTGATGTGCCGCCGCCCCGGGGGCTTCACTCATCGTTCTAATTTCTGAGCCCGTTCCAAAATGTTCCACGACGCGCTCGTTACAAAACAGGTGGTGCTCCCGCGCCCGCCTCCCCGGCGGAGGGGCGCTGCGGCGAGCGCCAGAGACAACGAGAGTGACTCATCACACACACACACTTCGCGCCTCGTTCACGTCGATCGCAGCTTCCGAACAAAACGGTTCGGCCGCCCGCCGGGCCAGGCAGCGGGCAGGGTGCCGTCGGTACACCGTGGTGGCTGCTGCTCTGAGAACCGTTTGATTAACCGCGCGGAACATCGGACGTCAGCTTCGATACACCGCCGCATTTCTAAGCAGGCCGGTGGGGCGTGATGCCCATCTGATAGCGCCCCCAACCGCGCCACCCCCACCCCCCGTCAAACGCGCGCCGACTCCCGCCCCCTCCCCTCAACCCAGCCTCCCTCAAAGCCCCTCTCCTGTGTCTTTCTACCCCGTGCGTCCACGGAGTACCTCCATCTAATTAAATAATATGTCTTCTCCCTAACTAATTACTACATGCTTCAATAATAACTTGTTTCAGATTTATTCAATTTTTTGAGTTGTGTTTTGAAAAAATGTGCTCTCTCCCACGGTGCGCCTCTTGGTCCTTGCAACTGTATGACTTTCGCCGACTCTCTTCTTGTTCTTTACTTTCGGTTAAGGGCGACATACGCGGCTGTGAGTGGCTCGCATGTTCGGCCCGGGCCACGCCTTGCGGCCTGATCAAAGACGATACTAAATCATAAACGAATTTAAATTGAGCGGTAAATAACTCAAGTCGGACCCCGCGTGCGCAGAGCGGTCGCTGCGCTGGGACAACTCGAGGTGACGGGCGCGGTCCAGGGGGCGGGGGCGCGCGGGGGCGGCTGCGGGAGTGACGCGCTCGCCAGGTGTGCACCCGATTGGTCACGTGACAGAGTCGATACATCGCGGAAGATATGAGCATATGAGCTTAATATAGTCGCGTTTTTATCGCAATTACTGATCAGTGTTTTGTTGTTCGTGGACCGTTGTTTCTCAGCACACGAAAACAGATGATCAACCCTGATCGGTTGGATAAGCTAAGTTCGATGGCTGACAATCGCAGATGCAACAGAAGTAGTTGATCGTCACGACCGGATCAGACACTACTTGTACAACGAGAACAAACCACACCGCGACTGCCCCGCAGCCGCACGTAAATAATGCTCGCAGATTTAATATCTGCGGGAGCTGTAAGTCATGTGTACGCGTCGGCCGCCTGTCGTCGCCGCTGTCGTGCGCGCGCCGTGACACCACCCGTCTTGCACCGGACACCGCGCACCGCGCGCCCCGTCCCACGAAACAAGCGCAAATTGCAGCCGACTCTGATATACGCAGTTGATTCGCGAGAAAATACGACGAACTAATGAATTCACACTCTGTTTTGATTGGGTTGGTCGGTATGATAAATCCTGCTCGCCGGCGGCGGGTGACCTCGCGGACCGGTGAGGGCGGGCAGGGGGTTCAGAGACACTTTACGGGCGGGGGTCACTTTGCACCCCCTGCCTCACGTCGCCTTCACTGTGCGTCCTCGGGGAGCTCATCGTCGGCACCCCATCGGTGTGTCGGGGGAGGGACGGCGTGTGGCGCCCTGTGTCTGTCAGAGCTCACGTAACTCGTTGGGGGGAGAGAGAGAGAGAAAGGGGAGAGCGACGGAGAGACAGAGAGAGGGAGAGAGAGAGAGAGAGAGGGAGGGGCGGGAAGGAGAGAGCGACAGAGAGGGAGAGAGAGAGAGGGAGGAGGAGGCGGTGGCAGGGGGAGGTCAGGTATGCGTCGTGGAAAGAGAACTCAAGGAATGCAAGGTTGGGCGGCTGGTCTGGGGGACGCCAGCATCCCCACCCCTCCCCCTCTCCCAACCACACCCTCGCCTCGGGGGGCCACGGGCGCCGCGGCGCGGTCTCGGCGCCACGCGCCCCTCGCAGCGTCAGTCCAAAACACAGCGGGCTGCGAGTCGGACGCGAGGCGAGCACAGCGGAGAGCAGCAGGCTGCGAGTCTCCTCACGCGCGAGCACCGAGCCCCCTCCGTCCTGCAAGAGCGAGTTGCGCTGCGAGCACTGGAGAGCATATCAGCTCCACGACGAGGCACCGTGATCCGGCCACCTGCCGGCCCTCATCGTAGAGCCATCTGAGGCCCGTTTGAGTGTCTGTCGGTGGAGAACCGAGGCGGCGACCTGCGGCCCATCCGAAGGGAACGCAGCTGGTGCTGACGCAGTGACTGTGCGTAGCGCTCCAGCGCTCCCAGCCAAGCACCACCATGAAGATCGTGAACGCGGGCAGCGCGGTGGTCGCGGCCGCTACGGCCGCGGACGACTTCCACGCCCAGAAGGGCATCAGCCTGAGCGACCTGTGCGCCACCCTCGGCGACATCTGCAAGGACATCTCGAGACAGGAAGGCGTCGAGTGTAAGAGGTGAGTGGGAATGTAAACCTTAATCGCCGTCGCCTTTCCAGCTAAACCTAAAGACAGTGGTTCAGGGGTCGCAGGCTGCACAGCTGAATAATGACGGTGCAATGAGAACCCAAGGTTTAGGGCTCTCACAGTGACCGCGTTTCCCAGAGTCCAATGACTGGCAAATCGTGTCAATTTGATGGCGTCTATTTGACGCGAGGCTATGGAATGCGCTCGGTGTGCGGTGTGGCCCGGGCCCGCGGGGGGCTGTGCTGGGGCTGCTGGGCTGGGCCGCATTCCGCTGGCGCCCCGCCAGGGTAAACGGCGGGACACGCACGCACGCCCGTGCGCGCCCCGCTAGAGCCCCGCGACCCTCCTTAACCCACTCGTGTTCCATTCAGCGCCCCCCATCTTACCAGTCTCTCCCGAAATTTTTAAAGGAAGGGGGGGGGGGATATTCCAGAAAAGGTGCCCTCGCTCATGCGGGAATGCTACTTGGTGATGTGCGCGTTCAAAACATTGGACCACTTTCTGACAAGTCGAGCGACCCATGATGGCTGGGAGCTGACGAAGCTGTTCTGCTCGTCCGTTTGCAGGCCGCTGCCCGTGGTGGCCGCGCCGCTGGTCGGCGTGGCGGTGGCGCCCGGGGTGTGCGAGGTGCTCCCGCACCTGCTGCTCGGCAGCGCGGCCGCGCTCCGCCCCGGCCTGCTGGCCAGCCTGGGCGTCACGTGCGTCATCAACTGCGCCTCCGAGCTGCCCAACACGCCCGTGCCGGAGAACGTGGCCTACCTGCGGGTGCCCCTCGTCGACCACCCGAGCGCCGCCCTCCACCAGCACCTCGACACCGTCGCCGACGCCATCGAGGAGGTACGTGTGTATGAGTAACGTCAGAGCAGCAGCAAGTTCGAAGCCCGAGCGCGGGGCAGGCCGCACTTTGGCACAAGGCTGGCAGCTCTGCAGTTGCACCTGACCTCCGCGTCGAGGAAGAGATGCTATTTGTCTAATGGTCCCGCGCGCGCGCGGCTATTTTGGGTCGGAATGTTTTTTCTTTTTTATTTTCCCTCTTGTCGGATTAGGGGGATGTTTACATGGTCCGGCCGAGTCAGGCACGTGTTTGGTACAGTCCCAACCCAGACTCAGCTGTCATAAGGGGGCATCTTTATCGGCGAGGATGTGGAGTGGGGGGTACGGGTGGGAGACGGGTGCATAAGAAATCACCACCCCTTTCCCCGGGTGGGTACGTTTGTAACGTGGCAGAAACATGGCGTTTTGCAAACGGGACGACAGTCATACTGCCTGCCTGCCGTGATGCAGACAGGCGCCGCCGGCAAGCCGTCGTCGGCCTGACCTGGGTGGGGTTGGGGAGAGAACGGCCGGACCTACCCGCGAGCCCTCCCTGTGTGACAGCCAAATTACCTAGATTGTGCCAGTAGCTAGACGCGGTGGGGTGCTTAAGCCCCGCTAAGTGCCAGGCCGGGCTAAGTTTCCGAGGCCTTTCCGATGTGTCTGACTCGTAACTTGTCTGCTCTGTACAGGTGCGGCTGCAGGGTGGGCGCACGCTCGTGCACTGCGTGGCCGGGGTGTCGCGCTCCGCCGCGCTCGTGCTCGGCTACCTGGTCAAGCACCGCGCCACGCCGCTGGCCGACGCCTTCGCCCTGGTGCGCGCCGCGCGCCCCTGCGTCCGGCCCAACTCGGGCTTCTTTCGGCAGCTCATCGACTGGGAGCAGCGCCACCTGGGCGAGCGCAGCGTGAGCATGGTGCACCACCCCGCGCTCAGCGCGCCCATCCCCGACGTGTACGAGGCCGACTACCGCAACACGTTCCAGTTCATCAACAAGTACAGCAACAGGACGTTGTGCGGCCGCTGAGAGTCCTCCGTGCCGGGGGCATGGGCCGGTGGGCTGAGGCGGCTAGTAGCCGCCACAGCCTTTTCCCGCCTTCCCGACTCAGGGGGAATGACTACTGCGGTTGGTGTTGGTCGAAAAACGCTTCATGAGTGTTGTGATCTCAATGACCACCCTCAAGTGTAGTAGGACAGAACTGTGCCGAGCGCATTGCGACTGAGAAGGAGAGTCAGATAGATCTCTCTGTTTCCACTAGTTTAAGAACATAACGTTCATTCGTTTAATTAATTTATGAATGTGTGCATCATCTAGTCATTTCCATCCGTAAATGCATTTGCATGTGAACTCATTCGTTCGTTAACATCAGGCACAACCCCCAGTCTTCTAGCCCAGCCGATTTAATTTGTGCTCTATGCGCCCTCATTATCGGCTTCACCTCGCAATCATCAGCAAGTTAGTAGCTCTTGAAGTTCTATATTTCCCCCACATTCAGTCATTTTCATTCATTCGATATTTACTCTCATTCATTTCATGTAATTTATTAAGTTCATTCATTCGCATTCTTTTTCATTCATCTTCATTCTTTTTCATCCATCTGCATTCTTTTTCATTCATTGTTGTTCTATTTCATCCATCTGCATTCTTTATCATTCATCTGCATTCTTCTATTACTTCATTTGCATTCATTTTTATTCATTTTCATTCATTTTCATTTTCATTCATTTTCATTCTTTTCCATACATTGCCGCCCTTTTATTCGTATTCATCCATTTTCATTACGTTTTAGTCAGATTCATTCATTTTCATTCATGTCGATTCATGTTAATTAAGTGTTATTCATCTTAATGTAGTGGCATTCATCTTTCATACCGTTTCTTTTTATTTTAGTCCATGTTCATTCATTTTCATCCAGTTCCCTTTGTTTTCATGCAATTTCACGTTTTTCATCATTTTACCAAATTTGGCTCAGCAATTAATTGCCATCTACCATCTGTCATCAATGTTTATCATTAATCATTTTATTCAGAACTTTATGACTATATCAATCATTGTCATTTTAAAGTCTTATCATACTCAACGGCATTCAAATTTTATATCACTCTATCATTGTAATATTAATTCTCAAGAGTTCGCCTTCACACTGTTGCCTGCAGCGACTTTCTCTTGTTATGTGATTCACTTATTGATATACCATTGTATTCTATTTCTAAGCATAATCTCTTTTGTACGCGTGTAATACATATATATTTCTTGACTACAAAATATGTCTGATATAAAATATGCCCCCCCCCCTTCTCCTCCGCGAAAAGTCAACACACAAAAATAATAACTTTAATCTGGTTATTCTCACCTTCTGCAAATCCCAACACCAAAATAACTTGTTTACATACCTGGGGTCGGGGAAAGCAGTGTGGAGGGGCAGGGCGGCATTATGAATTGGCTTTCCTGTTGAACCTACCCGACCGGTTAAATATAACTTTACCTGCGTGTCCCCGGCTTGGCATGTGTGGGTGCAAGTGATGCGCGGGTGGGGTGGGATGGGGTGGACAGGGGCAGGGCATGACTAGAAGAGGGCGAGAGAGCGAGACGCACATTTGCGCTGTGGGACGGATCGGAAGCAAAACAGCCAGCGGCTCGCACCTCGCACCTCGCACCTCGCAGTCTCACTGAACCGACAATCGGACAATCTAAATAAAAGACGCAACATTTCGCAACATATATTTTAATGAATAATAACGGCAAACCGTTTTTGTGGCAATATTTACAAAGCGCAAAACTTGTACAAATCTACAAAAATGTTTACAAAAATATAACGGGTTCAGGTGATTTGGTCAAAATGTGCATTGAGTTTATGTGGGAACGCACACAGTGTGGTGTCGCGGGAAATATTTCTCAGCCACACTTAACAAATTTCATGCTTCTTCTGAACAGCAAAATTTATGAGCAAAAAAGGGATCCAGAATGGTCATTATAGTATGATCAGTCTTGTCTTTAAAATCTCTAGTTTTTCAGCGGTCACAGCCTTTGCGAGCAAACACTCACTTAGTCTTTTCTCTTGATACGTCAGTCCCTCGCCGTCCAGTGTTCTCGTCAGCATCAACAATGGTGGCCTTGGGGTCCAGCCCCAGGCACTAGGCGGGCTCGGTAACCGGCCCGGAGCCCTCCCCATCGCCGGCCGGCGCCGCGGCGCCTGACGCCAGGAATGCCCGGCCGTACGCCTTGAACTGGCTGGCCGAGCAGGCAGCCTTGTCCGCCCAGGATCGGAGTCTCGACGACGCCGACGTGGGCAGCAGCGCGGCGCCCTCCGTCACCAGCGCGTCGACCTTGTCCAGGCCCTGCTTCAGCCTGTCGCTCAGCGCCGCGCCCAGCGTCGACGCCACGTCCGGGAGTCTCTGCAGCAGGCTGGGGCGTCTCGCACCCTCCGGCTCGTCGGCGTCCGGGGGGACTTCCCCGGCCACCAGCGTCGCCGACCCGCCCGAGCCGGACGAGCCGAGCTGTCGCTAGGAGAGGATTGTGCGGCCCAAGTACCTGCGGTACAGCCCGTCCCAGAAGTGCATGCGCTCCGAGGGCGGGTCGTGTCGCATGCGGAGCGACTCGCCAATGTCCAGGTAGTCCATTCTGGCGGTGTCCGGCTGCCAGGACGGCGACCACGTCACGCCGACGTCTGACTCGCTCGGCGTGGGGTTGCTGCAGAGAAGAAGTAGGGTGGTATAGTTGCACTGAGTACAACTGCACAGAGCTTCGGCTGCGCGACATAGGGAGATTTAAGTCTAAATTAGGATTTGAGTATAAAATAGAACTTACCCAGTTTTGACGAAGTTGGTGAACATTTTGATCATTCTGTTCCGGAAGATGAGATCAGGGTTCTCAGGTCCAAGGGGTATTTCTGGTAGGAGTGTGACTCGGAAAATATAGCCAAGTTCGTCGCCATGTGACATGCCTTAAGAATGCAAGGAAAGTTATGAAATCATTAATACATAAAACTTTAGCACATGTCTCTAGTGAGTTTCTTTCCATAATTGTTGGATAATGACCTGGAATCTTAAGCTTTAAGAGACGTTTGAAGAAACCAAGCTTTCCTTCGTATGAAAGGTAATACACATATACAGGTGTTTTCTCATTGGCCGCATGTAGTCGCGTGCAAACATACAGGGAATTGATGAAGCACAAATCTCCGAAGAGCTAAAAAGTAAACAGAGATCAGAGGCTTCAATTACTTCTTGTCGATCACAAGCAACGATCATTATAAATTAAGCTTTAATGACACAACAGGTGGACCTACGTCAAGGAACTGCGGCATTGTCTCCTTAGTCAGTGTCTTTTCGCCGAAGTAGAACTCCATGATCTCCTTGTGGCACTCGGCGCGCTTCTCCGGGGTCAGGGACGAGTGCATCTCGTCCGTCAGGAACATTTCGTTCGCCAGCCGACTTCTCAGCGTGGCAATCTCTGACGCGGATGTTGGGTTCTGCCTTCCTGTGGTGGGGTTCCCTGTAGGTAGACAGAATACACTTTTGAAGTCAATCCGTTTTATTCCCAGCCCAGAGTGGCACGGGTGGCCTAGGGCCTCCTGGCGCTGGCGCGGGCTGGCAGCCAGTCCGGCCAGGGTGGCGGCTGGGCTGCCTGCTCGCACGGCGCGGCGCGCTGTCAGCAGACTCACCCACTAGCCAGAGGCCGCCCTCCCTGTTGTTGACGCCGATGATGATGGGAACGTCGGCCTGGCGGCCCTCCCGGAGGATGTCCTCGGGCTCCTCGGTGAGGAAGGCGTCCTTGCCCGGTGGCTCGACGACGGGCAAGAAGACCAGCTCGTGCCCGATGAACCGGGCGTCAATGTTCATCTTGATGACGCCCGAAATAAGCCGGTCGGCGCTCTCCTTCCGCAGGGCGGCCACGACCTCGTCGGGCTCCGAGGCCTCGATGCCCAGGGTCTTGGCCAGCTCGCGGGCCGTGCCGAGGCCCTTGTTGCTCATGGCCCACTCGTGCAGCGCCGAGCCCGAGCCGATGATGGCGGCGTGGAAGAGGCCCCTGGACAGCGGCGACAGCGTGTGCAGGTGCGCCGCCACGGCGCCGGCGCTCTCGCCGTACACGCACACGCGGCCGGGGTCGCCGCCGAACACGGCGATGTTGTCGCGCACCCAGCGCAGCGCCATGACCTGGTCCTTCATGCCGGCGTTGCCCGGCGCCTCCTCCGTTCCCACCGACAGGAAGCCTGGGAGCAGCGGGGCCAGTTAGTGTGCGCACAAAAGGGAGAGAGAGCGAGGGAGCGCGGGCAGGAGGCGAGGCACCTACCGAACGGCCCAAGCCGGTAGTTGATGGACACGACCACGATGCCCTGGTCCACGAAGTAGTCCGGGCCGAAGATGTCGCTGTCGCCATCGCCGACGAGGAAGCCGCCGCCGTGGATCCAGAAGAGCACCGGCCTCAGGGGGGCGGACTCGCCGCGCGGCAGCTGCGGGGCACAGAGGAGAGGGGGACGGGGGGATTAAGGTGGGGATCACACAGAGTCCAGTTTAGTAGTGGCGAGCGTCGTGTTGACACGAGAGTCCTCGAGGACCACCACTCACTCCACTTCACTTCACTTCACCTTTGTGTCGCTCGCACTCGAGCTTATTGTGTCTGCGATACCGCCGGTCCGAAAATAATCATTACGAGAGGTGGTCGCGGAGAGGAAGCAGAGCGTGCGATACGAGGCCACTCGTCATAAAGCCCGCACGCCAGGTCCAAAGGTACGACTCGCGCCGGCACTTCCCCTTTGCTCCATGAGTGGTGGCGTGATGCCGGTGGGGTGACACCACGGGACACACAGGTGCGGCGACGCAACAGGACCTTTCCTGCGTTATCAAGGTGGCGTGATCGGGCTAGATCACACACCGAGGGTCCGCAGCCCCTCTCGCTATCACCCCCTCCCCCTTTTTTTCCCCCAAGGACTCCCACCCACTACTGTTGCGGGGTGCGGCGGAGCGGTAGCAGCAGTGCGCTATGCGCACCTGCGGTACCCGCCCGGTGTCGCTGGTAAACATGAAGTCCAACGTCCGACCTCTGGCCGCAGGGGCTCCGCAGGATCTGCAGGTCCAGGAGCCCGCGGCCGCGGCCGCGCGCCTTCCTTTCGCGGTTACGTGTACTGCCTCGTACTGCCCAATTAACCTAGGCGCTCTTTTAAGACTTGTGAAATGACCGCATGATAAGCCGTAATCATGCCCCTCGTAAAAAAAATATTGCTCGATCGACATTGGTCGATTTCGTGTTTCGCGTTCCAGGTCGTTTGACAACCTAATATCTGTATGCATGTGGAATACATTTCGGATTGCAAGTAAACAACTTCCTTGTTGTGGCTGAATGCTTTATTTCTGAAATGATACCAGCTCTATTTTTTTTTAACTGGCCGTAACGTGCGCTACCAACATCCTCAGTCAGCGCGTGACGGCGTTGAGCGCCTGTGGGGGTCAGGGTAGGCCGGCCAGCACTACACGCGTGCGTTGTGCCACGACGGATTGCATACCTATCAGGCGCTCGTGAAGGCAAGCGGATCGTCTGAATCGTTTCCATGCCCTTACGCTCCGTAATAACGCAGGCAAACCCCTGCGTTCCGGAAATGAAACCGAGGCTATTTAGTGTCGCTAGAGGTGGTGGCGGTCCCCGACCCGACGATCCCCGCGAGGTGCAACGCGCCGACAATGAGCTGCGCGTGCAGCGGGCGCATGACGCGGGGGAGACGCAAAGTGGGATGTGAAAACCGGTCGTTTGACTCGGCAGGTCAGGTCGAGAGTGGCTCGACCACGGGCCGGCGACGGGCACCGGCACCGGCGGCAGGCCGGGCGCTAGGCGTACGAAGGTTCGCTTACCTCTGGCGAGTACACGTTCAGGTACAGGCAGTCCTCACTCTGGCGGAACATCTTGCCGACGCGACGCAGGAGCGTCGGCATGGTGGCCATGAAGGCCGAAACGTCCTTGAAGGACCACGATCTCTGCAAAGCGCACGTTTGCGTTTTCATTTAGACGTGGATTAAAGTACAGGCTACTCTTTTTTGCACTACTTTTTTTCTCCTTTCTTCTTTTTCTTACCGGCTGGACTTTGACCTTGACCATGGGCTGCGTGCAGTAGCTGCCCTCCTGGCCTGCGTCGCGTACGTCCAGCCATGGTTCTGGAGGCTGGGGAGCCTGGAAGCACATGAGAAACACATTTGTGAGGAGCCTGTTGACCCGACGACACCCGACTCCCAGAGAGTGAAATAGTGCGTTTATCCGGCATATGCTAAGCTACTTTTGACACTTCTGTGAACCACCATAACCACAAAATTTTCGAAGTTGTCCAAATGAAAAAGTACTATTTTTTCCAACAAGATTCACATGTCACCCTCATTTAGTAAGCACTCATACTGGAGCTGCGGCAAATCGAAGTCCTTTGAAGAAAGTCGGGAGATATTATTTTATTTCTGCTATCTCCAGATTTGAAGAATCGATGAGCTATAACGGCTGTGACAAAATTTAACTACAGGGACCATATCCCCTCGAGAGGATTCCTTCCGCCCACGTGACCACCGGAAATAGCGCACTGGTGTCGTTACCATATCCCCCCCCCCTCTCCACCACGCCCTGAACTTTGTCCTACGGGCAGGCATTAGCGTCACTCCCCGGCCCGCCCTGGTTCTATGCCGGGCCGCGACGGAATGGATACAATTTTGACCCCGTTTTGAGAAAGATACCCGCATAATCAAACGAATTAGGAGGGGGGAGGAGGGGGGTGCGCCGTCCCCCCAATCTACGCGACTTAATAAGGCCGCGAGCGGGGCGATGTGTCGCCGGGGCGAGGTCGATGCGAACAGTAATCGTGCACATCGTCTAGACGATATACTCGCGGTTCACACCCGAGACCGGTTGCACAATAAACGCCCACGCGGCAAGATACGTAAAGACGAAACACACAGAAATAACGTGTGGCTTGAGCTTGAAACGGCTTGAACGAGCAGTGTAATGGCTCACCACAAGTCGCAAAACCAGAGGAGGACGCGGGGGAAAAAAATAGAAGAAAAACTATTCGGTTAAAATAATCTCAGGAGAACATCCAACTTAAAAAAAAAACGTTAACAATTCTTGTTAACCATAAACGGACCCTTAGTAAAGAAAATTTTCTATTTTATAGTTTCGAGCAATATTTTTTTAATATAGAAGTTTGCGCCGCGTCATAGCGCCCTCTCACTTGTACAATTTGCTTTTGGACGCCATGTAGGCATTTCCTGCCTGCTCGCTGCATTGTTCTTGTTCTTGATGTGTCTCTTTGCGTGATATTTTTTTGAATTAGCCTATTATTACTTTTATAATTGAACACAATTTTTGGCATGAGCGCTGGGCCGCGCGCGCGGCGACTACTCAGAGAGCAAGGCGTAACGTAAGACGTAACGTAAGACGTAACGTAAGACGTAACGTAAGACGTAACGTAAGACGTAACGTAAGACGTAACGT